ATATATTTTATATATATGATATTTCTGATATTTGTGAAATATATAAAATATATAAAAAATTCATGTGGGTATTCAAATGAAAGGTCTCGATAAGGGTAACATCAGGATGAGCTTATATCTTTAAAAATATTAATAATTGAACAATTACATTGTATCTTGTCACCTAATGATAATATTAAAGATTTAAGGTAGTTGTCGTGGTTACGGCATACCGTCAGAAAATTCTAAATTTTTGTATACTTATTAAGGACACGGTGATACAATTACCCTAAAAATTTGAAGTCGATTGACCACCTATAACTCGAGATGAATTCAATTAAAAATTGGATATTTAACATTGATTGCATACGCTCTCTGCAGTTCTGTACCAGTTTCTTATAGTTATAAAAAAAAACTAACTGTCAGAAACTTTCAAAAAACTGACAGTCTTTTAATGTATTTGTTGTGAGTTTAAAAAAAAAATTTTGACCGTCTAATTATTTATAAATAACGGATTAAAGTTCAACAATTTATGAAAAAATATATGTCTACGGAGTCGGACAGAAAGAATTGTATGGGTTGCGTCCCCACGAGTACAGTTTTGCGTAACAATCATGGATTGCTTAGCTAAGAGCTTATCTACTTTTACGGTGCATATAATCTCTAATTTTTTGACAATCTTGTACCATAATAACTACCTTAAAATGTATATTCTGTATATATAATAAGTAGAACAGAATTATCATTATCATAAACTTTAAATTTTCAATTTTCAATTAAATTATTTCATCCAGTTTTTTTAGTGATTCCAAGAGTATTTTTCTATGCGTATAACTTTTTCGTTCATTTAATATGACTGAGAGCCGAAAAACGTTTCATTAAACGTCGGAAAAAATTATTTGACCAGTCTAATATTAAAATATTACTCTCATGAAATGCAAGATACTGCATGAATCGATATTTTGATTCTTTTATTAAAAAAAATTTATTCTAGTAAAAAAAAAAAAAATGGGAAAATTATAATTTAAAAAGTTTAATTCAAATAATCCGAAGATACTTCTTTGAAAATAGCGGGTTATCAAAATTAGAAAATGAGAAAGTTGTAAACACTTTTCTGTATATTGAAGTAAAGGAGATTATTTCTTCGGCTTTTTTAATCTCTTTCTTAAACTAAAGCAAACATTTTCATTTGATCGAAGGAGAAAATCTAAAATAAAAATAAAAATTTCTCTTTCGTGACAATTTATATCTGTTTTATAGTTTTTTAGAAATTTTGTATTGAATTAAAATGGAAAAACCCCTTGACGGAGTAAAAAAATTTCATAAGTATGACATTAAGCGTTTCAAAGTTTACAAAATTATAGATTTTTAATAGATGAGCCAAATCTGTCGATTAGTTTAAAAATGACAGCAATTAAAAAATTTTTTTTAATCGCATTAATTTTCACTTTTACTGGATTTCCGTGCAATAACAATTGAAAGTGATATCCTATCAAATTACTTTAAATTGTATCTGAAAGCTTATTAAGTAAGCTTTAATTTGCATACTTATATATTTTTCTAAATTAAATAGTTTAGGAATCACAGAAATTCTAATTCTTCAATATCTTTAAAATTTGGCACTTTCACTGTTTCTTTGCGAAATAACTATTTATAAATAAACTGTAGTTTGCACACCTTACCATCAGTTTAGGCCAAAAATTACTTACTCTCTTTGTCTATTTAATGGAATTTTACTCTTGCATTCGTTTTGGAAATTATTATTTCAGTAGTTGTTGGATTCACTATGAAACATACTTTCATTCCGGTGCCGTATGGTCTTTTTTTGTTTAAAACTATGTCTAGTAAAAAATTTTTTGCATTTTTTTACAAAGTCAGCATTGTAAAAATACAAAAGACTGTTTTAATTAAAAATCTCATTTTATCTACTAAAATTCCGCAAATGTATATTAAATTTACAAAAATTTGATTAAAACTACAATAAAATTTTTTATTTCATTTTTTATTTTGTAAGTTTAGTCTACGAGAGTTTGATTTTTTTTTCATAAAATCCGGTATTTTATTTTAATGTGTTTTCGTCTTGTAATTTTACCATTATTTTGTTAAATATATAGTAATTTAATTTTTGAAGCATATGCATACACTGAGAAAAAAAAGTAACTCTTGAGAAAATTTTTTGGTCATAAGAATACATATTGTTGATAATTTTCAAGGATATATTTTTTTGTCTCAAGAATTGATCGAATTAATCAAATTATTTTTTGTTTAATTCAAGTGAACCTATTCGTTTATTAATCAATCAAAATTGATAAGTATTGATATTCTTTTGCCAAAATACCAAAATTTGTTTTAAATGATTCTTGAGCCAAGAAATTTTTTTCTGGACGAAAAATTTTTTTTTCTCAGTGAACAAAGATTATTAAACTCAATAATAGATTCTAAACTTCCAAGGAAATATCGTAATATTACCATCCATAAATAATTAACTTTATTCTTAGATATTATGATATTCAATTTTGAAACTATACTTGTGCTCTAAAAACTAAATTTAGAAAATTTTTATCAGTGTAGAAATAAACTACTAAAATTCTAAACTAATTATTATTTAAATTGAATCTTTATTAAGTATATTATATCATAACAAATTAAAATGATATTGAAATTAGTGATTTAAAATAAAGTTTATTAAGGCCACACTTTAGTTTCTCGACACGTTTCTTCATCGTAATCATTCAAACTAATTGGACAAAATTCATCTTCTGATACAATATCAAGACTACCAATATCAGCTTTAGGTTTAAACGCTAAACTACTGACTCGTATCCCTTTATACTTAGTTTTTTTATCATCATCACTTTCAAACTCCGAAAAGTCATCATCTGCGTTATAAATTTCGCCTCTTACTCTATCTCGACTTAAGTTTTTAAACTTCAATTTTTTCTTCTTTAAATTTTCTTTACTCGATTTTACTCCGATCCTATCCTTCCTCCCATCTATATCATTAAATTTAAAAACATCTTTTGTTTTGGAATTTAAATTAAATTCTTCTTTAAAATGATTATTTTCTGAATTTTTTTTCAATAGTTCTTCCCGATATTTGCTATCAATATTACCGGCTGTTTCAACAATTTCATTGATTTCTTTTTCCATAAGCTGAATATCTTTTTTCATTTGCGGATACTTTTGATACTCCTCACGTAAATACTTGTCAAATTTGTCTCTAAAGTAACCATCGATCATTTTCCAAACGCTATTACTGTACCAGCCAATAACGCTAAGTAAAACAAAACCACGAATTGCAAAAGCCAACATAACTTTTATTCTTTAAATTAAAATTATTTTATCTTATAATTATAATTGTGTTGGTAGTAAAATTTTTTATCTTTCTTAAATTTCCACTCGGGAATAGTACTTCCTCTGGAGACGAGGCTTTTTCACTTTCACGTTGCCCCGGAATAGAGTAAAATTTACCCGAGTAACACAATTACTCACGTTGAGCCAGTTTTCTCGGAGTAGTGCTTCGAAAATCGATACTTGTTCAAGAAATGAGGAATAAACTTAATATCCGTCCGAGTTTTAGATGAGCACAAGTTATTTTGTAATTCATTAAAATTCAATTTTTAACATCCTGATACTGGTACGGATTTTTTTTTTTAAATAAAATATGTTGCCGTGTACTATTTATTACTTTTCAAAGTTGGTTTAATTTCACCAGCATTTATTATTATTCTTCTTCGCCCATTACATAATCCTTGATTATGGACCAGACTTGCTGGATATTAGGCCAACCGATTGTCACAAAAACAAGCAGCGAATTGGCTATTACAAACAGCCTCATCATTTCCACACCGTCAGTTGATCTTAACCAATCACCGAAACCTTGATTCAAGTCTTTCTCTTCTTCCTCAACGGTTGCCAATTTTTTTTCTTCTTTATCGGGTTTTTCAATCCGATCACGTCTCACCATGACTCTAATGTCATCTGAAATATTTATTTTTAATTATATTATTTATTTTAAAATTAATATTTAGCTTAATAGTGTCAGTGATCAAATTTATTTTACGACTGCGCTTAAAAATTTTACTTAAAAATGCCGTCAAATTTTAGATGTGAAAGAAAGAAAATTGTTGCTTATTATTATAAAAAAATAATAATAATGTAATTTTTAAAAATAAGTTTAGATTATTATTATCTATATTATTAAGAGAATAAGCAAAATTTTGTGGTCAGTGTATTTATATGATAAAATGTTGTACCTTTTCATGGTTTTATATCATTCTCACCAATAGTCAATTTATGATGATAATTATTTAGACTGCATTCGAGAATGTTCTATCTCTACATACATAATTGAGAAATGACCTTGTATTTCGTGAACTATTGACATTTTTAAAGATATAAGCTCATCCCGATGTTACACTCATCAAAATCTTTCATTTAAGTACCCACATCAATTTTTCATATATTTATATATATTATATATATGTATATATGAAAAATATATCAAAATGCATGTGGGTACTCAAATAAAAGCTCTTGATTAGTGTAACATCGGGATGAGTTTATATCTTTAAAAATGTCAATAATTAAGAAATGACCTTGTATCTTGAGAACTATTGACATTTTCAAAGATATAAGCTCACCCAGACATTATACTTATCGAGACCTTTCATTTAAGTACCCACATCAATTTTTCAGATATTTATAATATATATATTACATATATATGTATATATGAAAAATATATAAAAATGCATGTGGGTACTCAAATGAAAGCTCTTGATAAGTGTAACATCGTGATGAGCTTATATCTTTACAAATGTCAATAGTTAAAAAAGTACAGTGCAATTTAACAAAAGTCATTATTTAATAAAGCAAAATTTTATTTATTTATAGTTCACAAGTCACGAAAGTCACATAATGACAACGTTGCTAGTTATTATTATTATTATTATTATTATTATTATTATTACTTTTTAGTTTTAATTTTTGAAAATAATAATAATTCATATCTGGTTATATAATTATACTTTTAATAGCTTTCTTTTCAGAAATAATTTGATCATTAGAAATTTTTTTTTATCAATTTTATCCTCATTAAAGCCGAATTGATTTAACGAAAGATTCTAATAACCGTGCTATCTTTACGGACATACTTTTATAGTGATTGACGTTTGTTTGATTGGAATTAAACTTATTTCGCGGCTATCAAACTTATGCTAGCTAGTTTGAAAATTGTTTTCAAGTGTTTTGAATTTAAAATAGTTATAAACTTAAAATTACACATTTCAGAACAACTTTTTTTTTTTTTTTTTTTTTTTAATCAGATACTCGAAAAACTTTGAAAATGCATATTTATAAAAAGTTTAAAAGTTCTCAACAAAGAATCATTCTAAATGTTTGACTTGTATTAATTAATTTTTGAAACCAAATTTTCAATTTCATTATTAGTCAAAAATTTTTCAACTTTTTGCTAAAATATTAACAGCCTTGACACAAAAAATTTTTTTTTTGCAATTCTACTTGAATTAACTATTTCCTATAAACCCTTATCATATATTTCGTGAAAAAAATTTCATTCTGGATATGGAGCGTCAAAATAAAAAAAAAATTACCAAAGATCAATCATCTGTCTTCAAAGATACTGTCAAAAATGTAATTGGAAAATTAAAAAAAAATGTAAATGTAAGTTAACAAAATTATTATGTAACAAAGAAGCCTAGTTCTTATAAATCTGATTATATTAACCTTAATTTATCAAACATTTGATTGTATTCGACCGAGCTCGTTATAAGTTTATTCGTTCCTTTGTATTGGTAATAATAGCAATTGTCATAACTATGGTCATTAGAAATTGATATTTGGTTGTAGTTTATAATTAAATTTCATCGTTTCATTTTAGAACCGGTTGATATAATCGTCAGTCGATGGTTTGTATGTATTAAATTCAAATAATAGGTGAAAATCAAGAATTAACATTACTTAAAGTACTTCCTCTTTGGTAAAGTGTGGTCAAGTATTTTTCCGCAATATAATTACGTTCATTATGTAATTATTATTGAGGTGTATGGCGTTTAATTTTTAGTCAGTTTAAAAGAAAACTTTTCATTGAAAGACAAGTATTACCGCAGTAAATGGTTGCACAGAGACTGTTCAAGAAATAAATTAACTTAAAACTCAATAAATAAACAAATTAATCTTCACAATGATTTAGTTTGAGTCTAGAGACGTACAGTGGTCTTGTAAAGAGTAATTTTACCCATTTTTTAACGTCACAAAACGGTTTTGTGACTGATTAAGTCATGAGGAGTCATTACCAAAATAAAATAAAATTAAAAATAATTTTCTAGATGTAACAAAAAGAAAATTTTTAATTTTGCAAACACATCAATAGTCTATTCATTTAGCAATTAAAATATTAAATTACTGTACTATTTGTAAGTCGTCTTGTTATACATTATAAATTTTTTATATAGTAACTATTGTAACTATTAATCCTGTTAATGGTTTAAGCTGTTGGGTTTGTTTATTTAAATAAATAAATAAATGAATAATATCGAAAAAATCAAGAAAAAAAATTATTCATTTTTGTAATAAAATTTATAAATTAAATATACCGGTAATTTCATATTTCTAGTTCGAAAAAATTTACCGAATTATTTTTTGGTCCCGAAAAGATTAATGAATTTGTGTCTTTTTATCTTTGTAGATATTTTCAGTCGATAGATAATTTAACCTTCAAAGACCGCAAGAATGGTATCCAACCCCAAGCTTCAACTAAAATTTTAATATTATACTCTCATAAATCAAGTATTTTTATCCGCAATGTAATTACGCTCATTATGAAATTATTATTGAAGTCTATGACGTTTAATTTTTAGTCAGTTTAATTTAGCGAACCATCATTTCATGTTTAATCATTTTAAAGTCGTTTTATAGATCATTAAAAATCTTAAAAACTTGCATTTTAGTAAAAACAATTAATGTTTAATTTATAATTTTTTTTTATAATAGTTTTACTAAATCTTTAATTTTTTTCTTCAGAACATATAATTTACACATTTATTTACACACAGATAAAGAATTTAAGACTATTTTTTTTTATATTAATCATTTCAAGAATTTAAAGATCCACAATTTTGCTAAAGAAATATATCTTCAGTTGGATTTTATCTAAATGCGACTTTTTCAAAATTTAATTAAAATTTCTGTTAGTAAAATTAATTAATGCATAAGATCTCAAAATTAAACAATAAAATGCCACTAATTCAAAATGTATCATTATTAATATTAACGTCTGAAAAAAAAAATTGACCAAATAAATTATCCATTGGATTTAAGGTAGCTCTTCCATGTCCGGTCAGAGAACATTTACTATCGTCGGAAAATTGATACAATTGTCAAATAATTATTTACCATAGAAATACTATATAAAAATGACAAAAAAAAATGTTTAAATTATTATATCTCGACAATAAAACGATAAAGTGCTACTTTTTTTTATTAATTGATCAAAAAATATTATTTTTTATTCTACTAATTTTTTTTCCAATTTTGTCGAGGAATTTTTTAAATATAACATAGAATATTTGGGTAGTCGAGAGTTTTACATGCTTTTAATGAGAAGTAAGCCTGAAAATCGGGAATTTTTAAATTAATAATCTTGTTATCTAAACGGTCAAAAATTCTTAAACTTCGAGATTTATTACACGGAAAAAAGTAAACTGTAATATTCACTCGGATTCCGGTTAATTTTTATAGTTTCAAACAGTAAAGCGGACATCGGGGTGGCAAAAATATAAATATTACAGAACTTAATGTAGAAAGTATATAAAAGCCACAATTTATAATTTAATATCCAAAATAAGTAATTAGTAGCTGTCACTATAGTAAATAACAACTCTTTTATCTTAAAAAATTACAGTTTCAAACAGTAAAAATTGCCATTTCAATATATAGTTCATATTATGAGGAGAAGGGGAACTCAGATGAAAGAGAAGGGGGTCTCACTCTGGAAGAATTTAACATTTCAAACAGTAAAAATTATACTTTTAAAATATACATTTTACCAGTCCAAGTAAGTCAATAATTACAGTTTGATTTTTAGCGTTGCGTTTAAAATTTACCATTTTACTTTGTAAATATTGACGTTGCTTGTATTAGAAATTCACTAACTTTATTTTACACTTTTTACATATCATAAGATCATTTTTTAGCTACGAAATGATAAATATCAAAGTCTGAATTGTTAATTATTATACTTTAACATTTTAGACATTCACACAGCGAATATTACTGTTTGAAACAGTATTTTCTTCCATGTAAAGAGTAAATTTAACGTTTAAATGGTAAATATTATAAAGTGAATAGTAAAATCACGATTTTACTGTTTGAAATAGTAATTTTTAGCAGTTGATCATTACTTGTTATAAATCAACTGTTATTTATTACAGTATTCTTTTTCGTATAGTAAACATTATTCTTAGACCGTGAAAAAAAAATTAACAAAATCTGTCGAAAAGTCGTTTCACGAAGGAACTACCCTAATTCAAAGCTCTGGTTAATATAGATAATTTTAAATCGGTTATACATGCACTTTAACTAATTTTACCTCCCGTAAAATATGTATTGTGGTGTGAATATTTTTTCCTTTAAATAAATTTTTCTAAAACTTAATTTAATAGGGTAATAAAAATGATAATTTTAATTTCTTCCGTCAACTAGGTATTTTACGGCAATTACATATTTCATTCAAGAGTAATAAATTGATCTATTAAATCATAAAACGCTGCATAAAATGAACATTTGTTAAAGCTCACATACTTTTAATTTAAATCAATAACTACGTTCGCACAAAAATGAAAATCGATAAAAGCGGTTTAGTAATTATATACTAAAAAAATTCTCGCACAGAATAAATACTTTTATATTTCACTGTAACCACCAATTTATCGTTTTTAATGATTA